GGGCAAAAGGATTTTCACATGACCTCAAATTATGATCCCACGAATTATTTTCTAATTATTTAGAGAAACATCTTTACAAATGAACGAAACTGTAGGTAGCCTGATACTATGTTCCTCTTGGTGTAATGCAGTAGAACAGGGGTTGGCAAACTACAGTCTATGCTCCAAATCCAGCCCACTATCTAGTTTTTACATGTTTAAATCATTGGGAAAAAATCAAACTAAAAACATTTCATGATACATGAGAACTATATAAAATTCAAATTTCAATGGCTATAAATATAGTCTCACTGGAATGTCAAACCAGTTGCAGTTGATTCCAACTCATGGGGATCCCATGTGGTCAGAGAACTGTGCTCCACAGGGTTATCGATGGCTGATTTTTTGGAAGTAGATCACCAGGCCTTTCTTCCAAGGTGCTTCTGGGTGGACTCAAACCTCCAACCTTTTGGTTTGCAGCCAAGCATGTTAACAGTTTGCACCACCCATAGAACCCTACTGGAACACAGCTACACTCATTTGCTTACATACTGTCTGTGGCTGTTTTCTTGCCACAACCGTAGAGCAAAGTAGTTGTGACAGAGACTGTATGACCTGCAAAGTCTAAAATACTTAGTATCTGGCCCTTTACAGAAAGTTTCCCCACGTCTACAATAGAAAAAGTACACAATATCTCTTATGAAGTACCATGCCAAAAAAATTTAACTTGAATCTAATTATGAGGAAACATAAGATAAATCCAAGGATGTGAGACATTTCACAAGACAACTGGGCTGGACTCTTAAAAAAATTCAATTAAAAAAACCCAATTAAAAGATACTAGTGAGAGATAACAACCAAATGTAATGCATGAAGTCTCATTAGATCCTGGACCAGGAGAAAAAACAGTTATAAAAGACATTCTGGGGACAACTGGGGAAATTCAAGTATGGACTATAAGTTAGGTGGTATTGTGGAATTATTAATTTTCCAGGGATGATAATGGTATTATGGTAATACATCCTTATTTTTAGGAGACGCATGTTGATATATTCAGGAGATGAAATGCCATGATTTCTGCAACTTTCAGGAAAAAAAAGGGTATGTGGAAAAACGTGTGACAGAGAAAGTGAGATAAGTAAATGTAGCAAAGTGTTAATAATTGGTGAATCTAGGTGAAGCATATACAAGTATTCACTGTGCTTGTATATTAACTTTTCTGTGGTTTAAAATTTCTAAATAAAAAGTTAGGGGGAAAAATAGGTCCTTTATCTGTATACTACTTTTCTTTAAAAGTGTTCAAAATAATTCTGATTTTTATTTAACTACTTCACAAATGTTCAGTGATGAATGACTTAGCTTCACAAAACACCAGGACATACTATTAGAAATAGGCAATATCCCCAATTCATAAATGGGGAAGCAGAGATCAAGGTTCAAGGTCACATAAGATAGTGACAGAGATAAGACTGGATTTTGAGTTTCCTGCTGAACAGGCCCCCTCCTGTCATTAACTGGCATATAAAAGGCTACAGTCCAAACAGTCCCATGTTTCACAAAAAGATGCTGGGTCACCTTAAGAGTTCAGTGCTACCTTTACATGTTTCAGGAGTTCTCTGCCTAGGTCCCGGTCCAATTTGATGGCAAACACGATATGTAGAATAATGGTGCCTTCCACATGACGAAGTTCACCTGATGGTACGGTAACAAGATCCAACAGCCTGAACAATTCAACAGAAAGATACGGGCAATAGTTTGAGCAACAGACAATAGTGAGGGCGCTCAGATGAACAAGTGGCCCAAGTCAAGCTGAACTCACATAATGACTGAAGGCAGGCAGCAAGTAGATATTCTATAGTCATTACTTCCACTTCTTTACCTCATACTCTCTTCCCAGTCCAACCCAATTGGCTCTGTCCCTCCCTAACCCCTATGCCACTAAGGCTGTTCTTGTGAGGGTCACAAATGACCTCTATATTGCCAAAACCAATAATCAAGTCCCATTTTAGTTAACTTCTCAGCAGATTCAAAACCAGTTGACCACCTCTTTCCTGAAATACTTTCTTCTTTTGGCTTCCAGGGGTCTGTCACTGGCCTCTTCTCAATTTTTCTTGAAGGCTTGTCCTCTTCCACTGCTTCACCTTGAAATGGTGGAATGCCTCTGAACCCACTCTTCGGTGCCTTTCTCTTCTCACCACCCTCCTCTCTCTCTCTGGGTGTCCCCATTCAATCAGATGACTTTAAGTCCCTCCCCCTACAACTCCAGACTGCCTGCTCAACACCTCCATATGGGATGTTAATATACATCTCAAACTTAAAGTGGTCAAAACTGAGCTTATTATTTCCCCCCAAAATCTGCTACTCTCTCAGTCTTTCCTACTTTATTATACAGGACCACCTTCTTAATTGCTCAAGCCAAGTAGGCAGGAGCCATTCTAGATTAGAAGCAGTAAGGTGCACCAGAGTTAAAAGCACGGACTCTGCAGTCAAACTGCCTGGATTCAGACTGGCTGTATAATCTTGGGAAATTCTTTAACTCCTCTGTGCATTGGTTTTCTCATCCATACATAAAATAGAGGTAAAATAGGGTTGCTGTGAGGTTTAAAGTGCTTAGAATAGCATCTGGCACAAGTAAACACTCTACAAATGTTTGATTTAAAAAAAAAAAATCCTTGATTCTTCTTTTGCTTTTACTAGCCCACCCCCACCATTTCCACTCTATCAGCAAATCCTGTTGTCTCATCTCCAAAAGATATTCCAAATTTCCCACTTCTCTTCGTCTCCCTACTGCCATCCTAATCTAAGTTAGCATCACCTATTACTTGGATTATTACAATATCCTTGTAACTGGTCTCCCTCTCCTACCCTTGCTTCCCCCTCCTAATCCTTTGGCCATACAACAGGCAAAATAACCTTTAAACACCAATCAGACATCACAAGATTGTTTACAGACTGCCATTAGCTTTCCATCTGACTGACAATAAAGTTCAAACTCTAACCTCATTTATAAAGTCCTAGGTGATCTAGCCCTATGTACCTCTCTGTTTTTGTCTCGGACCACCATACCCTCTCCTACTATACTCCAGCTACAGTCTTCTTTTCTTTCTCAGATATGTCATGCTTGTGTCCTGCCTTTATACTAACTGTTCCCCTAACCTGGAATGACCTCTTATCTATGTATTGTAGCTCTTTCTTATCATCTTGGTCTCAGTTAAAATAGCATCTTCTCAGAGAGGTTTCCCCTGATCACCCAATCTAAAGTAGCTATGCTATCACTATCACATCATCCATTTAAATTATTTGCACAGCACTTTCCACTCTAATACTTTTACTGTTATTTATTGTTCTGTTCTATTCTCACTAAAATTTTAAGCTCTGTGAGAGCAAGGACCTTGTCTGACTGGTTCATCACTGTTTCCCCAAGGCCAAGTAATTCCTGGCACAGAGTTGTTACTGTTAGGTGCTGTCGAGTTGGTTCCGACCCATAGCAACCTCACGTAGAAGAGAATGAAACACTGCCCAGTCCTGCACCATCCTCACAATCGTTGTTATGCTTGAGCCCACTGTTGCAGTCACTGTGTCAATCCATCTCATTGAGGGTCTTGCTCTTTTTCGCTGACCCTCTACTTTACCAAGCATGATGTCCCTCTCCAGCGACTGATCCCTCATGATAACACGTCCCAAGTATGTGAGATAAAGTCTCACCATCCTCACTTCTAACGAGCATTCTGGCTGTGCTTCTTCCAAGACAGATTTGTTCGTTCTTCTGGCAGTCCATGGTATATTCAATATTCTTCACTAACACTATAATTCTGGCACAGAGTAGACACCTAATAAATAGCTTTTAAACTTGCAATTTCCAGAACAGTTATTGCTATACACCTGGAAAGGTGCATATAAAAGAGCTAAAGAGGTTACACTATTAACTTTATACCTGAGTGGTTAGGAAATCATTAGCGAAGCTCTGTGCTGAAGTGAAGATAGGAGGTAAAAAGGGAGATAACGATGAAGTAACTAAAACATACAATGATAAGATGAATTTGTAAAGGTGATCTTTATTTCTACACTATATTACTCACTCATCACCACTCTGTTCTTCATTGTGCTGCTTATCTAGCTCATTGAAGAAGGCCATGATTCCTTCCAAAACCCTCTTTCTGCTTCCCTAAAAGAAATACAAGATTAGGTAAACTCTCCCCAAGAAGAGGAAAATAACCAAATGGAATTTAAAGTACTTTCAGCTTAAAAGATTCTCAAGTACAAATTTAAACAGATAAACAACTATCACCTAGAGTCACACTTAGAATGTATAGAATGCTTTCATGTTGAAACTGGGTTTAAAATATCTTCGTGTCAGACTTCAAGGGGCCTATATTCCACCTTTTCTGAGATCTTTATTCCTTTCACTACCAGAAAATGTGGTAGCACAAGAGAAAATGTTTATTTTCCTTGGCTGAGGAGCATGAGCTTTTTACTAGATCAACTCACCATACATGAAATAAAAGCATCTATACCCTAGTATGTAAACTAAGAGTATGAATAAACTGAATGGCCTTAACTCGTCATTCCAGTACATTTAAAGAGAAACCATTTTTTATTTATACCTTTGAGGAGAGAATCAGAAGCTGGTAGACCAAAGGTGGTATTTCTTGAAGATTCAATTTGGGGAACATCTTCAACACTTTCTCCACCACAAATTCCACCTCTTCTGCGGTCAGAGGGACATCCCTGTGGACCAAAGATTCTAAAGGCTACAGTCAGAGCTTAATTGCCTTGTTCTCAGAAATACGATTTGGGATTCACAATGATTAAAATTTCATTAAAATTTTCTAAAGAAATAAAATTCGGGAGTAAGGAATAAAGGAGATATTAGCATATAAAGCTGTCACTTTTGATTTCTAACAAAGACCTTTAAGGGGACCAATAACCTTACCTCAACAAAGTGATCATGGAAATAAACCATAAAGTTACACTTAAAATAATTAAAGCCAAAAAGTGGGGGGAAACCTATAGCAGAACACAAGGCAGCAATACTCTTACTTATGGAAGAGTGGTGTTGAGCTTGCTATGTTTTAATTCTGAACAGGTAAGTTCACAAAGCAGGATATAAAGAGCAAAGGGAATGACGATGCTTACTTGAACATGGAAGTGAGCTGGATCACATATTGCTGATCCCATCTGGTTAAAGGAAAATGACAAAGAATATGAAAGTTTATTTCATTTCATTTATTTTAAAATAAATTAAATTTTAATAAATTTTAAAATTTATTAAAAAATATGGGCTACTGATTTTGCATCAGTGGGAAACAAAATAAAAGGATTGCCATTTTACCTATCAGACTGGCAAAATAAAAAAGTCTGATGATACCCAATGCTGGTGAGATTGTAGGGAAACAAATGCTCTTCACGTACTACTGTAGGTAGTGTACCCTGATATAACCCTTCTGGAAAGACAAGTTGGCAATATTTATTAACTTCAAAAATGCACATAACTACAGACCCACCTAACTCACTATTAAAAACAGACCCGCTGTACATGTTAGTACAAGGTCATCTAGACATGTAAGGATGCTCACTACAACATTTTTTGTAATAGCAAAAATTGGAAATGACCAAAGAATCTGACAGTTGAAGATTAGCCAAACAACAGACTACTGTAGAAGCATGAAAAAGAATGATGCAGAGTTCTTATACGCTGATACAAACAGATGAAGGAGCCCTGGTGGCGCAGTGGTTAAAGTGCTCGGCTACTAACTGAAAGGTCAGCATTTCAAACCCACCAGCTGCTCTACAGGACAAACATGTGGCAGTCTGCTTCCGTAAAGATTTACAGCCTTGGAAACGCTATGGGCCAGTTCTACTCTTTCCTATAGGGTTGCTATGAGTTGGAATTGACTTGATGGCAATAGGTATGAACAGATGTGTTAAATAAAAAGTGGAAGTATACTGCAATGTGTACTGAATACTCAACCCTTTTGTGTAATTAAAAACAAATAAATGGATAAATATACACATGCTGATACATGCCTAAAATTATTTATGGAAGAAATCTCAAAAACCATAAACAGAGGTAATCTCTGGTTTAGATAATCTTGGGTATTCCTTTCTGGTTCTTTTAATATACCCAAGTGTAACCATTAAAAATGATATGTATAAAGACTTACATGGAAGATGATATAATCTCATTCTTATTATACAGTCAGTGAAATAAGACTAAATTAAAAAATTTTTTTATAATTTAGTATTCTCTTATTTCACTGACTATATAATAAGTAAGTTTCACCTTCCATGTATGTGTTTATACATACCATTTTTAATGGCTGCAAATTTCATGGAGTGGCTCTACATTAACTTACATAGCTTCCAGACTGTAATTTACATGTTTCTATTATCATATGCTTAAGTTTCTTATAAATTTCTGTGTGGAACATGTTCATGTATGAAGTTTTTCTTATATTTTCTTAGGGTAGATTCCCAGGAATACAATTACTGGTTAAAGGATACCAAAAGCCACATGCATATCCACCACCGCCACTCCAGTAGAAAAAATATATCTATATGTATATATATATGTATATGCATATATATAAAAGATGTTGCAGTAGGGTGACTTTCCTGGCCTGAAAAGTTAAGGATTTTGGGACTCCGAATAACGCTTAAAGGACTAAATTGCTTTGTTAAGATGGAGAGAGTCAAATAAACAGAAACTGTATGTCTTAGATCACAGAATAAATCCTCTCTTTCTCAAAAATTCATCACAGATTAAATGGTCTTATAGTGGTACATTACAAACAATAAAACAGACTGAAAATTTCAGAGATATAAATTTCTGAAATAAATGGTAGCTCTATTTTTGGCCACTTTGGTCCTGAGAAAGCTCTACTATACATTAATGAGAAAGACTCACCTGCCAGAACAAAGGGTGTTAATCAACTGCTTCTTATATTCCTCCCCACTCAGTTCACCTAGAAATGCAAAATAAACTGAGAAATAAATTTGATTAAGTGAATAGAGAAAGAACCATGAAAATATAAGAAAATTACCTTTTCCATCAGTCAGATTTTCCTTTTTGGCAGCAAGGGCAGTGAGAATAATGGGTAATAACTCCAAAGATTTTCCATTCACTAGGCTGCCCTCTCTGACAGCATCAATAAATTCATTGGCTAATTCAACCAATAATGGTCCTGGAAAATTGTGAGCCTAGAAGTTCATGGATAAAACGTTAAGCAGAAATCCAGATGTCTGGTATCTCTTCCTAAGAAATAAGCTCTTTTGCTGAATTAACAGAATTAATGTTGAAACCCAGAACTGGTCTTTTAAGGGATTCATGGAATCACTCTGCTGGAACATACTTATCACTGTAAAGGACTTCAGTGGTCATAATCCTCCATTGGTTTCCTAATGTTTTCAAATATGCCAACTTTCCAAAGAGATATATGTCCACGATACCAGAAACCTAATGTAAACATCTAGATGGTTTATGGTTCATCCATTAAGTTTTTGTTTTTAAAGAAGAGCTCTTGCTCATAACAGGAACCATGCTAGGTTTTGCACAGGTTTAAGTTTTCCTTCCCTCAACAAATTATAAACCCCCAAAATCCACTCCCCCCAATTTTCTCTCTTACCTCCAGCATCAGTAATCCTATGATCTCTGATGCTACTTCTTTCTGCAAATCCCCTGATTCCACCAACTGGATACATAATGTGTATACGTTACGTCTCCTAAGGGCTCCAGCTTCCTCAGAGCAGGGGGATCCTTATTGTTTTAAACAGATGGTACGGAAATAAAGAAAAAAAAATAAGTAGTCTTACAAATTTGAAGGGCAATTAGGAAAAACAAACAGGTGTGTAGTTTAATATAGAAACAGAATTATCCAATTACTGATTACTACAGTGTTTATCAAGAAGTCCTCGTGGCACAGTGGTTAAAGTGTTTGGCTGTGAACCGAAAGGTCGGCGGTTCGAACCCACCAGCTGCTCTGCGGGAGAAAGATGTTGCTTCTGTAAAGATTTACAGCCTTGGAGACCCTATGGGGCAGTTCTACTCTGCCCTATAGGATCACTATGAGTCAAAATTGACTCAACGTGGGTTTGGTTTTTTTATAGTGTTTATCACAGCAGTATTTAAGGGCTTTGAAAAAGTGCCTAATTTAGCGAGAGTAAAGGTACTGAAATGTCATCTTTTCTTTTTTCACCTACTTCATTAATTTGTTTTAATAATTACATAGTACAAAAGGAGGAAAAGCCTACTGGCACAAATAGTTAAGTGCCTGGCTGTTAACTGAAAGGTTGGCAGTTCAAACCCATCCAGTGGCTCCACAGGCAAAAGGCCTGGCGATCCATTTCCATAAAGATTACAGCCAAGAAAACCCTATAGGGCAGTTCTACTCTGTCACATGGAGTCGCTATGAGTCAAAATTGACTTGACGGTATAAAAACCACCCAAATTAAATTTCTTTAACATACAGTCACTTCAAAATGTCATCACTGAGTGAGGTCAGCACGAATGGCATAGTAAGGACCTCTGAAAATCCTCTCCTCCATAAAAGTAATGAGAAAAACGGCGAAAATGGTCAAAATCAACTTTTTCATAACTCTGCAAATTAACCAAAGGCTTGTAACAATCCAGGGTGTCTTTTTCAAAAAAGAAATGAACAACAACAACAAATAAAACAAATGAATCTTGGTAAGAACAGTAAGTTTTGTGGGATTTTAACCTGCTCTAGTCCTATCTCTTTCTCTACAGCCCAACAGCAGTCTTGAAAACCAGCAGCCCTAGAATCACAATGAAAATCAGGAGCCTAGCAGCCTCTGGAAGGGACAAAATATAACTGGAGCTCCTCCAAAGTGTAATTCTCAGAAAACTGTCATTATTTGAGCTGCCTGGCTGTTCCCTTGAAAATCTCACTCATGAAGCTTTTTATTTGCTCACTCACGAGGCTTGTTTTTATCTGCCCTAACTCAGAACCTTCCCAATGCTAATATCCTTTTCCCTGCAGGCAGTTGTCTGAAAAATCAGCTGCAACTGATTAATACTGCAGCTGACTGAGGTGGCAATAAACATTCGGGCAAACAACAGTCTGAACCAAAAAACTTGAAAAGAAAAACTGGGGAATATGTGCACAGGGGGCTTTGAAAAGCTCCAACTTATTCCTGGTAACACGCACACTTAGGGCTGTGAGCATGCACAGGGCTGAATGCATGCCCAGGAAAGAACTGAGAAGACTCTATGCTCTCACCTCTGGTTGAATTTGAAACTGTGCACAAGCAGGAAGTGAAGGCTAAGGCAGAGTTGTAAGCTGTCTGCCTGAGCGCTAAAGGTGTGTCCCTGTCGTGGACTGAATTTTGTCCCCCCAAATATGTGTCAGCTTGGCTAGGCCATGATTCTCACTGGTTTGCCAGTTATGTAATGATGCAAGTTGGTGGTTATGTAATGATATAGTCATCCTCCATTTTGTGATCTGATGTAATTATGTGTTATAAATACCAAAACCTCTATGAGGCAGGATTAGGGTGAGGTATATCTTAAGTCACTACCCTTACCCAAGTCACACCCTTGCTTGAGTCACACCTTTTATCTTGCAAGAGACAAAAGGAAAGAGGAGAGCAGAGAGGAGTTGGACCTAGTACCACCAAGAAAGAACAGCCACGAGTGAAGCATGTTCTTTGGACCTGGGGTCCCTACCCTGAGAACCTCCTAGACCCAGGGGAAAGCTGATACCAAGACTTATGGAGATCTCCAAGGAACAATGGGCCCACAGATGTTGAAAGGAGACAAGGACCTTCTTCCAGAGCCAACAGAGAAAGAAAGCCTTTCCCTAAAGCCAGTGCCCTGAATTTAGACATCTAGCCTTCTAAACTATGACAGAATATATTTGTTTGTTAAAGCCATCCACTTGTGGTATTGCTGTTACAGCAGCACTAGATAACTAAGACAGTCCCCAACACACAAGAACACCTTAGCAAATGCTGGGAAGCTTATTGGTTCCAGGTATTTAAGGAAATCTCTGTCCAGTCATTAGCTGACCACTAAGCTGAGTAGAGACTTCAGCGGTCACACACAACAAACAATAGATTTTACAAAATTAGTTTAGGACAATCACTAGAAAAATAAACAGCAACAGCAACAGAACAATAACAAAAAACCCTGAGGGAGATCTGATTTTCAGAGTTGCCACATAATATCACTTAAAATGTCCAATATTTTAAAAAAATTACAAGACATGCAGAGAAACAAGACTATGGCCCATACACAGGGTGAAAAAAAAAGCAGTCAATAGAAACTGTTTCTGAGGAAACCCAGACACTGGATACACTAAACAAAGTCATTAAATCAACTATTTTAAATGCGTTCAAAGAACCAAAGAGCACCATGTCTGAAGAACTAAAAGAAAAGTATGAGACTGATGTCTCACCAAATAGAAATTACTAAAAATATCCAAACAGAACAGTCTGTTCCTTAAATGGCACTGGGACAATTGAATCTCCACATGCAAAAGAATGAATTTGGACCAATATCTCACACCATGTATGAAAATTAACTCAAAATGGATCAATGACCTAAATACAAGAACTAAAACCACAAAACTCTCAGAAAAAAACATAGGGGTAAATTTTGGCACCTAATTTTTCGCAATGGGTTCTTAGATAGGACACCAAAAACATGAGAAACAAAATTAAAAATAGATAAACTGAATTTCATCAAAATTAAGAACCTCTATGCATCAAAGGACTTTACCAAGAAAGAGGCAACCCACAGAATGGGAAAAAATATTTGGAAAGCGTATACTGGATATGGGTCTAATATCCAGAATATATAAAGAACTTTTACAAATCAACAGCAAGACAGAAAACCCAGTTAAAAAATGGACAAAAGACTTGGATAGCCCTTTCTCCAAAGACACACAAATGGATAATAAACACATGAAAGATAGTCAATGTCATTACAAAAATGCAAACAAAAATCACAATGAGATACCACTTAACACCTATTGGGATGGCTATTAGCAAAGAAACAGAAAATAACAAGTGTTGATGAGGACATGGGAAAATGAGAACACTCATCTATTGCTGGTAGGAAAGTACAATGGTGCAGCTGCTGTGGAAAACATTTGATGGTTCCTCAAAAAGTGACACACAGAACTTACAAACCAAAACAAAAAAACCTGTTGCTATCAAGTCTATTCTGACTCATAGCAACCCTATAAGACAGAGCAGAACTGCCCTATAGGGTTTCCAAGGAGTGGCTGGTGGACTCAAACTGCCGACTTTTTGGTTAGCAGCTGTAGCTCTTAACCTCTGAGCCACTAGGGCTCCTAGAACTAACATATGACCCAGCAATTCCACTCCTATGTATATGCCCAAAAGACTTGAAAGCAGGGACTCAGATAGATAACCTGTACACCAACGTTCACTGCAACAATATTCACAATACCCAAAAGGTGGAAACAACCCAAGTGTTCATCAACAACTGAATGAATAAAAAAAATCTGATATATCAATACAATGGAATATTATTCTGCTGTTAAGAAAAATGAAGTTATAATACAGCTACAACATGGATGAATCTTAAAAACATGCTAAGTGAAATTGGTCAGACACAAAAAGACAAACATAGTATGATTCCACTTATATAAAATATCTAGAACAGGCAAATACATAGAGAGAAAAGTCTATTTGTGATTACTAGGAGCTGGAGAGAAAGAGAAATGGGGAGTTACTGCGTAAAGGGTACTGAGTTTCCATTTATGGTGAGGAAAAAAGTTTGAAAATGGATAATGGTGAAGGCGGCACAACATGGAGAATGTAATTAATGTCATTAAATTGTACACTTAAAAATGGTTAAGATGGCAACTTTTTTATTACATATATTTTACCATAATTAAAAAGAAACAAATTCTGGAGTTGAAAAGTACAATAACTCAACTGAAAAACTCACAAGAATGACTCAACAGCAGATTTGGCCTGGAAGAAGAAAGAATGAGCGAATGTGATGATAGGTCAATTGAGATTATCTACTGGGAGGGACAAAAAGAAAAAGTGAAGAAAAATGAACAGAGCCTCAAGAGACGTGGGACACCATCAAGCATACCAACATACACATTAGGGGAGTCCTAGAAGGAGAGGAAAGAGAAAGGCGGCAGAAAAAATATCTGAAGAAATAATGGCCTAAAATCTCCCATATTTCATGAAAAACATGAATCTACACATCCAAGAAGCTCGATGAACTCCAAGTAGGATAAACTCAAAGAAATACTACACCGAGACACACCATAATCAAACTGCCAAAAGACAAAGACAGAGAGACTCTTGAAAGTAGCGAGCGATAAGCAAGCTGTCACATACAAGGGATCCTCAAAGAGATTAACGGTTTATTTCTCATCAAAAACCACTGAGGCCAGAAGGAAGTGGGATGACATATTCAAAGAATTCCAGCAAAACTATCCTTCAAAAACGAAGGAGAAATTAAGACATTCCTAGACAAAAACTGAAAGAGCGCATCCCTAATACTAAAGGGAGTCCTTCAAACTGAAATGAAAAGACACTATACAATAACTTGAAGTCACATAAGAAATAGAGTGCCAGTAAAGATAACTACATACGAAAATATAAAAGACAGTACATATACTGGTTTATTATTCTTTTTTCTCATATCTGAAGTACAAGACTTAAGTTACTAAAAACAGAAATAAAACAAAGACCTAACCATCAACCTTAGATAAATAAAAAGGATTATAAGAGAATACTATGAACAAC